TAAAAAAATTAACGTTTAAAGAATAATGGTAAACTCGGAGCACTACCTCGCTCCTACAGCATAGTTAGTCTACCACCTGCCTCCTCTGAGGCTAGCATGCATGGACCTTATAAGAAATAGACTAACCCAAATGGGTTTTCTCCCTCATCTGAGGCGTTCCCGGCTGTCACCTTGATCACATCCGAAGGAGTAGGGACGACTTGCAGAAATTTAACAGTGGTTGTCTGTTGCAGCGTGTATAATTGTCAAGAAAAAGCTGGTTGTAGCGCCTCATTTAACAAATTAGGATTTCTCCATATTTTTATTTTTGAAATTGAGATTGATAAAAAAAAATTTAGCATATTTATATATAACTAACGTTCCAAATAATTATAAAGTTATTGCATGCTTTTAGGGCTGGAGATTTTTTTTAGCTTTTCCTATGCTGTAAGGAAATTTGTAACTTCTTCTTTTAGAAAATAATATTTTAAATCTGAACTAGCAATTTTCTCTTGCAATTTTTATACTTTTTATTGGTGTAAATAAGTAAAAAATACTAAAATATTTAAAAACGAATTTTTGAAAGTTTTGTTTAAAATTCTAAATTGTGCTGCTTTTTTAAAATTATAGATGAATATTATAGCACAATTTTTATAAAGGAATTTTATTTCAATTATATTTCATAATACATCATAGTGATAAACACTTTTGACTTCTTAATAATTTTTATACATTTAATTCTAATATTAAAATTGTATTTAACCGTAATAATTAATTTTGCTTGTATTTTATAGTGATTATTTTTTAAATTTATTTTTAGTTCTGCATAAGATTTTTTTTTATTACTGTTAAATTAATTTATTAGCCCAAAGGGGCGGTAGCCTAGAAAGGCTGTTAGTTTCGAAACGGCATTTTGCGCTGTTTTACTGTAAATGTCCGTGTCTCTTTGCAAATTGTTGTTACCAAATATTATCGCCCTGTATTATATTTAATTATTATTGTATTATATTTAAAGAAATTAAATAATGAAGAATCTGTATGTTTCTCGCACTGTGACAAAAACGACAGTATCTAGAGCCATCAAATTTTGGATAATGTAATCCTCCACCCGAACATGGGCATTTAGACGGCTGAATTTCGAATTTATTTTAATGTATTTCATATTCTGTAAAACTTTAACGAATTTTTGATTAACAAACTCAACGAGTTTAGAGAGAGCTCTGTACGGAAAATAACAGTTTTATCTCCAGTGCGGAAATTCTAAAGATATGCTGTTTTCAAATGTATGTGGTTTACGGGCGAAGAACATGATATTCAATAAATATAGGTAACACACAAAACGTTAAAAAAAAGGTTCCTTTTGGGCGTAATATAATATCTCAATGCTTCTAGATTTTATTTTACCTTTTTTCCCCCTTCATTACACTCAGAAAATTTTATGCTCCAAATTTTATAAATTACTAAAATAAATATTCCACTTTAATGTTAATAAGTTAATGATGATATAAATCAAATAAATGATTGTTTTGTAATGTTATTATGGTTTTGAAAATCACTGCCCGAAAATGGTCATTAAATTAAAAAAAAAGTTATGAGATCTTGTTTAATTTTACCTTATTTATTTCAAAGCATCACGTACTATCAATCTTATTTAATTTTACGTTATTTGTACGCAAAATTAAATTCATAAATTTTGTGCTTAGAGTTTTTACCGTTTTACCAAAGTAAAGATGTTTGTACAAGAATTACGCGTGAAAAAAATGCGCGAAATGCAGCAAAAAGTGCTTTAATGAGATATATTAAATCCTGTTTGGAAAAAAATGTTGGCTTTCATAATCTCATCACTATACAACGTATCCCATTTAATAATTAAAAAAGAGTTATGTGGTACAAACGCCATAGGTTTCAGTGTTAAAGTAAAACAGATCGTCCCTACTCTTTCTTGCCGACATGTCGGTGACGCGTGCCCCGCCCACTGGGTTAGTCTATCTCTTATAAGGCCCATGCTAACATGCAACTGTCGTCTCTCACTTGCTGGGCTCTGCCAGGCAGCTGATTGGCTCACCGCAGCCAGATACATGACAATATATATAAAAGCATACTATTAGGTTACTTCTAAAAGATAAAATACAAAATCTTATTTGATAAAAAAAAATAGCAGTGTTACTCCAAATATCCAAATAAAAAATGTTCTTTTACGAAATACAACTTGTGATCTCATCTACTCTTACTGTCGTAAATTTAAAAGGATTTATAATGCCAATATTACTTCCCTATTAGCTTTTTAACACCAGGTTCTGAAAATTTAAAAAATATTCAAATAATTTTCCTCTTCCTCAATGCCTTCCGAGAAATGGGCTTCCCTTAATTTTAAAATGGATTTGTCCATGTAGTTATTGTTTTCGTATTAACGGCTTGCCTGATTATCCCAAGTTATCCTGGGTTCGTATATTGCAGTTAATTATTGTCCCGAGAAAACTCGGGCAAAGCAGTATTTGTCAGTACGATTTGTTTTATCACGGTTTTACTCGGCCTGGAGGAAATGGAATGAAATATTCAGCTTTTATTGGCAGTTTGCCAAGTTTTGTTGGTTTCACGATTCTTTTGGCGGGACTGGTCACTTGTTTTCCTTATTGTCTAGTATATGTCGGCTTGTGGATTAGTAATGTATAAAGAATGATAGTTGCATTGAAAAAAGTAAAATAATGGCGATGATGCAAGATATCAAAAGCGATGTTTTTCAGATATCGATTATAACCTCAAGCCATTTTCTCTGTGCTCCTGTAAAAGAAATTCCAGAGTTAAGCCAGTAATAAAAGAGACCAGATACCAGTGTATAGAATGTCAGGTATCACTTTGTGTTGTCCCTTGTTTCAAAACTCTGATACAAGGACTAATATTTATTTTTTTTTTATTTGCCCGAGATAACTCGGGATAGTAAACTAATATTAAAACTAAATGCTTTTACACCTGTAAAAAATTTAAAAAATTTAACTTAAAACCTATATATTTTGTTTTGTTTTGTTTCCTTGTATTTAATAATAAAATTTAAAAAAATGTAATGATTTTTTGCAATTTTTTCAAAAAAAAAAAAGGTGTAAGGCAAGCAGTTAACAAGCCATTGCAAACTACTTGTGAAGGTTATGCGGAAACTTGCCCTTCTAGATGTGGAACTTGATGCCAGCCTGATACAAGAACCCTCCAATTGCAGCAAAGCAATGACATTCAGCATACAATTCCACAAAGCCAGTTGCCAATTCGCCTTTTTAAATTACTTACACATGATTCTTGGTAACCTCTGGCCTTGCAAAGGCCACCTAAACCGTAGCAGACTTACAAGGAGATTCAAGTCACAGGAAAGTAGAAATGAAGATACTTCACTAGATATTGTAATGCCAATATTATTTTGTGCTCTTTATTGGAATGTACATTTCTCTCAAAGAAATAATATTGTGAGAGTTACTTGTAGTTTATTCCATGTCTACTTATTTATTATGTTCTTACTGCAACCACATAGCTATTAACTGTTATTCACATATTTTCCCTTCTCCTCCTCCTTCAGTTGCACTACAGCCTATCACAGGCCATCTCAACAAGTTTCCTCCAATGCATCCGATTAGTCACAATGGTCCGACAATCACTAATTTTTAGACATCTGAGATCTTCCTCCAGATAGTCTATCCATCTTATACAAAGTCTTTCTCTTTTCCTGGTACCCTCTACCCTTGCAAAGGTCACCTTTTTAACAGGGTTCAAGGGTAAAACTATATTTTTCGGGTACCCCATTAAATATAGTTTTACCCTTCGCCGTTACACAAAGCCAAAATAACAAAATAAAGAATTGCACAACCTTGGTATCCATGAGCACATCAGCCTATTTTCATTTCAAAAAACAACCCAGACTTGCACAAACTTGGCATTGTACACTCCTTTGACTTTATCCATGTACACATTGACCTATTTTCACTTAAAAAAACATCAGAGAATTGCACAAACTAAGCATTGTGAACTCCCTTGACTTTATCCATGTACACATCTATATTCATTTAAAAAGTCAAAGGAGCAGCGAACAAAAAATATATAATTTCAATAAACTACATTTTAAATCCAACAATGAAATGCCATAAAAAAGGAAATTCATATTTGCACTTCACAAAAGAAATATCCGCTTACCTTATTTACGAACTAACATGTCTTCAGTCAAACAAAATTCCTTAACAGCATCCCAAAACTTCTAAAATTATCTGAACTGGAATCTGTATACTGGCGTCGCCGCATAAATTCACAAAATAAGAGTCAAAAATATCCTCTGTAGCACCGTATCATCCAATCATATGCATTTCCTTCCTACAAACAGGACATTTAATCATGGCCACGAATTAAACCTTCATTTACACTCCAGTCAAGTAATGCTCTTTTCCCCTTTCTTTCCAAATCATAAAGAAACTTCAAATTAATATTACCGCATTCAGCCATTTAACTGTCTAAACCAGAAAACAAGCAATGTACTTCCTAACCAACACACGCAACGAGCTTTTACAAAATCACCGCAATCATGCAACCGATTAGGTCATAATACGGTTTCCATAACATTCAACTACTCCGACTACCATAAATAAACCACCACTTCGCGATAAATGATACAACACTTTCGCGATAATACAAGGGATAATTTTCTAATTAACCCAAAAGTGGTTTTTCAAATAAATATAATGGACAACTATTGCCATTTATTAACAAATCTTTCAATTTTAAACTAAAAGCACTCAAAGAGAAAAAATACAGGAGAAATAGAAAAGGAATCGGTGGAATAATTCTGAACGCATGACGTATCGCCAAATCAAGAGTTGGAAATGACAAGTGAACATACGGTGTATGGTCAAAACTAGCAAGTGGTTAAAGAATGCTTTGAACACCGTCAAAAACAGTGAAACAGTTTGTAGGTGCAAATCTTACGAATTCATGTATGGAGGTATTAACCATTCTTCTTTGTTTGTTATTTACGGTACTACTTTTACATATGCCCTCGGATGTATGTTGGTGCAAAATGTGGCGATATGTGTTGTGCGCTGGTTTTTGGCGCGATTATGTGTTATGCAATGGTTTTTGGCACGATGTTGTTTGTATGGCAACCCTTTTTACGTTGAAACATTATTTTTATGGAATGGTTGGTTTATTTGGTGGGCATTTTGAAATGGCTTATGTTGCAATGAAAGACGTGGTGGTAAAATTTCAGTCGCGTATTTTGGATTGTGTGCAAGGTAAATTTAGTATTAAAAGGTACGGTGTTGGAGTTGTTCAAAAGTTTTTTGTTCATGACTGTGTTTATGTGGATTTTATTCATGAATGTAATGCCGGATTTTGTATGCTTTGTGTTTCAGAAGATAGGGTGGAAGGATAAAGTGGCGGAAATGGATGAGTTTTGCTGATGCTTGAAATTGATATTTCTGCTCTTTGAAGAAGCATTCACAATGGTAAATGCATTTTATTTTAGTGTTGTTCTTATTTTGTAGAATGTGATGTCCATTATTTTTTTGCTATGAATTTCTGTAGTTATTGTTGTTTTTTGAATTGTTTGTAATTTATTTTAGTTTATTTTGTTGATTTGTGCTCAATGCATAGATTGTGCAATTCGCTGATTTTTTTTTTTAGTTAAAACAGAACGTTGTGTACATGGTATTGTTTGAAATTTTCTGTTATGTTAGTTTATTTTAGTGAGGTGTGCATAATTCCTAGATTCCTACACTGCATCATAGACTGTGCAATTCTCTCATGTTTTTTTAAGTTAAAACAGATCGTTGTGTACATGGATTCTTGTCAAATATTTTTGGTTATAAACTTTGTTTTTGATATCTAAATTTTGTGTTTTTGTTTCAGACTTTTGGCGTAAGTTGTGTGTTAAAAAGGTGGTTTTTGCACATGCGAAAACCGTGTTTTTGCAGACATTTTAAGCTTGAAGTTGTAAATGTAAACAAAAAATTTAAATAATACTATGGCGCCATGGAGTTTCTCGACAAACAGGCGAAAAATTTGTCGCCAACTCAGGCCGTGTATAAAAGTATTTCCTTACTTACTATTGTTTTTATGGTTTGACACTACTTTTAGACAAGAACCGCACAGCAAAAATATGGCGCATAACTGCCTATCTTTATACCTTATAAGGGAATAAAAATAAATAAGTAAATAAATAAATGCATTTCAGACATAACAGATGACTTACTCGTAATCCTTGAATTTGAAAGTAAAATATTTGCTTTGAAATCTCGCCGAACACGAAAGTGTAGGCGAAGGTATCGCCAATCATTTCGACAGATGTTTGAACGCAAAGATCTTCTTTATTTAGTTAGATAAAAAAAGAGCTAAAAATTACAGATATAGCATAACTTATTTATTAACTTAACTCCTAACTTATTTATAATTTTTAATTTTAAATACTCATTGTTTATTCGTTCCTGAAGTCACGTATCGGGCTTTTCTTGACGCTTGGATCCAGTAACTTAGAAAATACTCCACTTCATGCACCCTGAAATGTTAATAATTGTTTTAAAGGCAGGAAAAATATAACTTAAATCCTTCTTTGTAAAAATTAGAACAGTTTATCGAGAATTAACCGAATTTGCATTCAAACAAAACGAACTTCTTAATGTTATGCTATCGCGTCGTGTTTTACCATTACTGACGCTAAATCACACTGTTTCGCGGCAATATACACCTATTAAAAATATTACGAGCTGTATAAAAGCGGTGCAGTAGCCTAGATGGTCATGTCTTTGACTGCCGTATCGAGGGGACAGGATTCAAATCAGTTAAATGCCGGATAGTCGGACATTTACTGTAATATAATAAAAAGTTCTATTTTTTTTTAGTTTTAATTCTTTTCTAGATATTCATTTATTGATAAAAATAAGCTGATATTACGTATTAGGCACATTTATTTAAAACTTCAGTAAGCGCAGTCTTGGGTTTTATGATGTTCCTGCAATTTATTAATTATTGATTTTGAAATGATATTTATTAGATTATTTATCAGTTATTATCACATAATCTTATCTTAAAGGTTAAAATCACATAATCTTACCTCAAGCATCTTTGATCGCATGCAGACACTGATTATTTTTCACATTGATGTAAATACAAGACATATTCAATAAACTTAAACTATAGCTTCTTCTTCTTTTTTTTTTTTTTTTTTTTTTCCGGGGGGGGATGATGCGTGGATGTCTAGCACTTTGACATCTACTGCTGGTTTCACCGTTATTTACCCACATTGCATAAATACTAACAACGACAAATTGTTAGCAAACTACCAGTTGCACAGTTTCGAAGACACTCTTATCGAGTATTCAGACCATTGCAATGTGCCGCTTATCAAATTTGGTTAGATCAGCAGCTTTTCCCAACATTCGAAAAAGCAAGTGCGAGAACGATTCCTTAATAATGCTTTGATTGCATATTCTGATTTACAGCGGGAATTAAATCCGCTCTTGCCAGAGCTTATCAGAGAATCAAACGAGGAACCTCGGATAAGATAAAATATAGTCAAAATAAGAAAACAATGAAACGCATTGTCTCTGAAATCTTACTGGCGGGTGACGATGCGATAACAGAAGACTAGCATTGTCCTATGAGGGGTGTGGCGGCAGTCCTATGACTCCTGAGCTACTGAAAGATTTTAAGTTCAAAAATTGCAATAAAATTAATACGAAGGTTACTTATGTTGATCTTGTTTCTGCGTGTTTGCGCTAAGCGATAAAGCTGCAAATGGCCTCTTATTCTTGTCTTCTTCAATGATTCCTTACTTTCTCCAAGCAGCAGTTAAATACCATTCCCATTTAATCACGTGCCCTCAACGTCATCCAGGCGAATTCCTTGAAAAATGTGGGGATGGTCATAATGTTTTGGCCAGTCAGGGTATATTTCCATCTGATGTATTCATTTTCAGCCTGGAATTATTCATTGCATCTGTATTTGTACTCTTGTTCGCTTTTACTGATGTTTATTTCCCCCTTCCAAATTATTACAAACTTGATCATCGAGGCAAGAGCGTCAGTATTTCCTTTGTGACTACTCCTCACTGGAACACATCACTCAATTTGTGTACTATGAGGTTTCACAAAACTAGGTCATTTGAAGGTGCTAGCAATAGCGCTAAATTTTTAGTTCTGAATCTGGAATAATTTAGGTATCCAAATATCCAACTTTAGATTTCTTCTACCTCACCACTTGTGTGAAACATTAAATTAAAATTATGCAACACAAAATTACCAGTCACTTGGATCTGGCTGAAAACTGTTCTAATTATAAGCAATCTGCTTTCTTATAACATTATAACAGAGGCTACAAGATTCACTTGAGGCCACAATAGTTTTTTAGACTTCTAACTTTCCATATCAAATGTATATTTACCCTTTCTATCTAGCTCTCGACAAGCTGTGAAATCGAATGGAGAAAACCATTCTCTAGGACTGCAGAGTCAGCGGGAATATCAGAACTATCATGTTAGCTATGCGCAATTATTCTAATTTTAAAATAAAAACTTCTTGCCATTCAAATCTACATAGATTTTGAAATGAGAGAATCTAATGGCAGAATGAAGCAAAACAGGATAGTGTTGACATTTGTTTGAGAAACTAAAACACAATGCCACGCTTTTTATGCAAATTTTTAGAGAAATTTTTGAACTTGAGATTAACAGAAGTATAGATTCAAATTGCAATATAAACAAACTTCTTTTAATTTCATAGTATGTATTAAATTTTATATTGTTCTTACTATGTATATAAACTTAGGAGATTATATACATACATATATATATATATATGTGTGTGTGTGTGTGTGTGCGTGCTTTTTTCATATTTTTTGAAGTTTAACTTGACTGTTTTAGCTGGGGAAATTCCTGGGGAGAAAATGGCTACATTAAAATGTCAAGAAACAAGCACAATCAGCGTGGTATTGCTTCTCATGCAGTTTATCCTTTGGTTTAAAATCTCACCAACATCTCTATACTTTGACATAAATTAAACAGAATCATCATAGGCTTTGTTACTAGATTTATGTATTAAATCAAGTGAAAACAGAGAATGATCATATGTATTATGTCTCTTCATGGCTGTATATTTTGTCATGCAGCATAATATTTATAATATTAATAAAACTTTATTTTCATAATGACTGCTCATTATTTTAACCGGTACCCCAGAAACAAACGTCGAGTGTGCCTCTCGTTACACCACGAAGTAATGCGGAAAGGAGGGAGAAAATACCTTATAAAATAATTTAGGCTGACTTATACCAGTTTGAAAGGTAACTTCTAGTTACTGAACTAGAAATTACTACAAATTATGATAAAAGTAATAGAACTAGAATTTAATCGCATTGAAATAAAGACTAGTAATTACACTAGAAATTATGAAAGTAAATTATTCAAGGAAAACATTTAGAATCTCAGTTAGACCTTTTTATTTTTGCAAATAATGGTACAGCAATATATCTCTTTAAAATATATAATTTGTAAACTTATTTTCAGTTTTATGTGCAGTTAAATTAACAGAAGTATGATTATTAGAGCTTTAAATGAAAAATGCGAAAAAAGTAGAATTAATATCTGTATACGTGCTAAGAACAGTAGATTGAAGAATCGATGATAACAGGTAGGTAAGATTTTTTATTCACGAAATGTTTTCGTGCACAATGATAACAACTGTGCATAGTTCCCAAACTTAGACAGCTGAAGAACACTTTTAGCAGATCCTTACTTTATTTATGAGCTGTATCTCTATAATGCTTCTTACTTGATTCAATCTTTCCCCCAAATATCCTTTGGTTAAAAACATTGCCAATCTTTAGAAATCTCACAAATGTCAATAGAAAATTTTCTCAGATGCAAATGATATAAAAATTTTAAGAGCAATTACATAGCATATGCCACTTAGACAACCATGTGTTTTGATAACATTCACGCTTTCGACTTTCGAAGTTCGCATCTTCATCGAGTCGTTAACGATACATGGACGTCTATTTCAAAACCAATAAAGCGGTTTGTCGAAAGACATGAAACAGAGTAAGTAAGCACAGAGAATTAATTTCTGTAATTATGTTCAGTAATGTATAATTCCGACAATAGAATGTTTCTAAAGTATTATCAGTGCTAAACAACAAATTATCAGTACTAATTTAAGTATTACTTTATTAATTTCCATTGAAACCAAATTGTAACTAAGACTCAATGCTTAGGTAACATATAACCATTATTTTTAGAATGATTCCTAATAATCAACGCACACATATTCTGTAGCTGTATTTAGTTAAATATATTGCTATCATAAGTTTCTACATAATTTTATCTTATTAAGTCCCTTTCAAAAAACCTTAATTTTTTTAAGATATTATTTTCCATTGAAAGTTATATTATTTGTTTTTTAGTTCAGCTTCAACCAAAAAAGTAGATTATTTAAAAAAATGGACTATAGGTATGATATTTACGCGGCAGATGTAAGAGAAGAATTATGTGAAGAAAAAAGAAAATTTTTTTGTACTTCTTTATTGAGATCATAATTTCGAGAGATTTTTTTAATGTATTAAACTGGTGTTGTAACTATTACCTACTTTCACCAGAGCGTCGAAAGAAGCATTTCCGCGAATTTTCATTTTCGAGATACTCCGATTAATTGACTACACTAAAACCATTTCTTTGGAAGAAAGCTACGAGGAATACAACTTTGAAGGAAATATCTTTATCTCGATAGTAAAATATGTCTCGCGTAGCTAGGCAGGGCTTCGGTTCCAGAGAAACATGTTCCGGCTAGAAACCTTCCAATGGTAAGAGGACAGGCTCAGTTCTAGGAAGTTTCTCTTAGCCTCACACGTTATTAGGTGTGATAACTCCATTACCTATCAATAATACAGTTTTCGTTTCCGTTCATTTATACTCTTATCAACAAACAAATCGAATTCCTTTTTTTTTCTGCCCAGTTTTTGGCTGAAGTCAAGTTATTGTATAAGAAAAAAGGCACAGGCAAAAGTCAAAAGCAAAACTGAGCAAAAATACCATCTGAGATTGTGGTCGATTTAAAAGATAAAGGGAAGAACTTCAGATTATGTTGCAATCAGGGTACATTAAATTAGGTTATTTAATTATGGTAAATCACACGAAAGCTCTCTACCTAATGGGAGGGATGCCTTAAGAAGATAGCCCCTTTTGGTGAACTTTCAAAGGGAAACTGGCTCGTATTCACGCTACACATGAGAACCACAAAAAACAAATATCTGACCACGTTTTCGCCAGGGTTCGAACCTGGATCCAGCTGCCAACATTCAGAGGTCTTAATCACTCAGCTACTAATGAGGAAAGGACTGCTTTGCTATTTCAAGGAACAAAAGCATTTTTCCTAAATTCTTCGCAATTTTGTTTTCGAAATGCCGAAGCTGAAAATAAAATTAGGTAAGAATTCAAATTAAGATTTCGTTGATTTAGAAGAAATCCTTTTATTTTGCAGGAGTCAAACAAGAAATGCACTGTCACAGGCACGTCTACGGTCCATGCGCTTTATGATATCAGAGAACCATTGATTTTAAAAATGCGTTCGATACACTATGGTGGACGGATATCAAAGAGGCTCTGCGAAAGGCACAATGCCCGAGCAACCTGTATAAGATCATATGCAACAACCTACAGGATAGAAGACTCCTGGCAATCCATAACGCGGGAACTTTAGAGCAGGAGCAGACAAGAGGATGCCCACGGGGGTCGTACTCGGGCTCACATCTGTCGAATTTGACTTTTAACGAAGTTCTATCAGCAACATGGCTAGCGCACACCCAGATTTACGCATATGGTTATGACGTGGCATTAATAGTAGAAGGTCGGACTAGAGATGAGTTACAAACCAACTGTAACGAGGTATGTCAACTATTCCACGTCCTATGCAATAACTTAAAACTTCAAATTGCAGAACACAGTTCGACGATTCTATTAATCCCAAAAAAGGGAGTATCTTTTGTAAGAAACCCACAATTAAGATCAATGGACAAAAGATACAGATAGTTGATCAGCTGAAATATCTGCGTCTAACTTTCGACTATAAGATGACCTGGATTCCACACATCCAGGACATCAAACTCAGGACAATGTCCATAGCAAAACAGATGCGGCAATTCTATGGTCATAAATGGGAACTAAATCCCCTCATTCAAAAGGTTTTTTTCATTACCGTGGTGGAAAAAATATTTACTTACGCAGGTGCTGTTTGGGCTCACCCAATGCAAGGCAGGAAAGTAAAGCTCCTTTACACTATACAAAGACCCTTTGCATTGAGCATCACCAGAGCTTACCGTACGACCTCCGCAGACGCCATTAGACACACACATATAGAAATGTGCTCTTTGGCCTCCTTCCTCTACACATTCGTGTCGAAAAGGAGGCAGCAAGACAATTCGTATTGCAACTGAAATGACCAGTTTCCTTTGATGAAGTCAATTACCATCCGGAGGATTACGAAACCAACAGCTGCCAGTTCAGTGTCCATCCAGCGGTCAAAGGCACGGGAGTAACTATTACCATCAATCCCACTACGACTCACCATCCTGCACAGCACACCATCTACACGGATGGTTCGAAGATTGACGAAAAAGTGGGAAGTGCGTTTGTAGTTATGCAACAAGGTACAGTAAAAGACCAAGGAAAGGGACAGCTGCGGCAAAATAATAGCGTATTTCAGGGAGAAGCAGTGGAGATTGAGCAAGCAATTCGCTACTTGCAATCCCACAACATCCGCAACGCTACTATCAAGACCGACAGCCTCTCATCCCTGTATGCAATAGGAAATCCAGACCATCCTTCCGGCATAATACAAGGTGTCCGAGAAGACTTGCGGAAAAATCTATCTCTCCGTGCCAAATTGGAATGGATAAAAGCGCATACCGGCCCCCACGGTAATGAATTGGCAGACCATCTCGCCAAAGAAGCAGCTACAGGACCGACCGGTTTACAAATTGACATCCCATGGCCTGTCTCATTCCTGAAGAGGACTCTGCGTTTAAAGGCAATCGAGCTATGGCAGCAGACATGGGACAATAGCGAAACTGGAATACGGCCTCATTACCACATCAGCTACGTGGATACCACCAGGAACATCGCTAACACGCAACTGATCGGGTACATAACGGGTCACGGACCATTTCCAGAATATTTCAACAGATTCGGCATAAGCCATACCAGTCAGTGCACCTGTGGACAGACTGGCTCTCCGGAGCACTACCTAACATCCTGCCTCCTTACAGAAGGGCTTCACATCAACTTCCCGTCCACAAATCGACAAGCCTTCTGTAAGTTTTTAATAAAACAAAGGCACCTGGTGAGAAAAATCGGGCTCTGGGCAAACTGGCAGAACTAAATATGGACCTGTGCCAAACTTAACCTAACTCACAGATTACCACAATAGACAAAGAGCGATTTAGTGACTGACACCAGTATCTAATACCTTTGAATAATATTAAATGTGTGTACAACACTGATAGTCCTATTGCATGCATATACAAGTATTATTTAACGAAATTATATTATGCCAATTATCTGCATTATGTTAACTAACTGAACTGTACAATGGAATTAGCATTATATGTAACTGCAGATATTTATATCGTCTGTACCTTATATCATTTATCTCGTATCATCCTGTATCATGCAAACTATTCAACACTCTGTATCATGTATTCTGACATCCGCATATATTATCTCGTATCATCCTGTATCATGTAACTTATTGATTCAACTTATCATGTGCTTTGTATCAAGTATCCCGGCATTAGCATAAATTTGTATTTCCAGCACCTAGTATCATATATTTCGCAAAATCTTAGTTATGTAACTTATTTTGGATCCAGTATCATGTATCCTGGCATCTGCATATATAATCATCCTGTAGCATGTAACATATTCTGCACCATGTATCATGTATCTTGGATCTTGGTATCTGCCTATATTAGTATCTTCTGCACCTTGTAATCATATATCTTGTAACATCCTGCAATACGTAACCTATGTTGTAAAATATAATCCTGTATGTTTTAACAAATATCTCGTATCATTGTGTAATATATATCATATTTCTCGTATCTTCCTGTAATAGGTATCATATGTTCCGTATCATCCTTTAACATGTAACCTATTT